TCTGTTCCATCCACAAATGAATTGTCAGTTTCAATTAATTATAAAGACGCGAGAAAAAGAACGAAAAAGGCTATTTGTGAATTTTACAGAGGCGCAGAAATGCTGAAGAATTATCGAGTAATTTTTTTAACTTAGCTCAATTAGTTATAATACTATTTTAAATGGTTTGTTATAATTTTTTTAAAAACTTATTTAGAATATTAATTATGCAGGATTTAAAAAAATCCTTGAAAAATTCGATATGGTAAAATCAAAATTTCTGCTAAAGTTTGTTCTCACTTAAAAGTTAATAATTTATTGTTTTAGATTACGAAGCTAAATGGAAATGAAATTTATATGCAAAAATTGATAAAAGTAATTTTGTAAAAAGTAAAACATTAGATGTATTAATGAGAGACACTGAGGTACGTATTTCAAAATCTATTAATTTTTATTTTTAATTTTTTTTTTTTTATTTTAAAAATTATGTTAATTGATAAGTTTCGTCTTATTAGTATATCTATACTAAACTTTTTGGCGGTGATTCTCGATCACATGCAATAAAAAAACTTAAAACCCTAATAGAATACACAAGGTAAATAAACAAATCTAGATCTATTTTTAAATGTATATTTAATAATATTTAATACCAAAATTTTCCTTGATAGACTTATTACTTTCCTACAATACGATCAGGAATATACAGTATATTTGGTGTAGCAACTCTTTCCTTATACAATACCTTAAAACATGGTAATTTATATTATCCTTCAGGCCATTATGATCTGCATCGGTCAATAATATAATTATTTTTTATTTATAAATTCCAATAATGTCGGAATTTAAACTTTATTAAACAAATTTATATGCCTTATACTGTAATACCGATTACATATGTATTATTCAATATAATTTATTTAAATATTACAGTACTATCTGTAATGTAATAATTATTAATAATTTGCGAATTTTGCGAATTTTCCTTTTTTTTTTTCAAGAGTCGACGGCCCCCAAGTGTTGGATTTTTTTTGAATGCATTAGGATGAAGGTTTCCGGGACCATAAATACCAGGGCGGGTTTGATTAACAGTGCTGGTTTGAATAGCTGATAACGGTGTACGGGTTTGAAAATCAAGATTCGTCTAAAAAAAAGTATATTTAAGAAAAATTAATACTTTAAATGTTTATATAATCGAAAAGAAAAATTTGCATTACCGATTCTTTAACATTTTGATCACTTAGTTCAATAGTATGTATGTTTGGTTCAGTCTAAGAACAAGTATTTGGTTAGTATTTTATATAATAATAACAATAATAATAAAAAATAGATTACCAGATCTTCATTATCTTGATTATTCGGTTCAATTGTTTGTACATTTGGACTGGTCTAAAAAACAAGTATTTAAATAACATTAATAAATCATATTAACATTAATTAAAATCATCAGAATTTAAATATATTACCTCAACATTATTAATGCTAGAATTAATTATTGCAGATAAACAATCTTTTTTTTGCTGTTCAGAAGGGTGTGAATAAATTCTAACAGAGCTTTCACTTTTATGCCCAGTAATTGACATTAAAGTTGAATTAGGTGTTCCGAGTTGATATAAATGTGTAATTGAAGTAGTATGACCTGAATGATTGACTATATTTCGGCTTTCAATATTAATTTCACAGGATTCGCAAATCTGCCTTAGCATAGTATTAATCGAATGATCACCAAGTCTTTTATCTTTGTACCAGATATCTCCTAAAATTTTAGTATATTGATATACATATAATAATGATAATTAACAATTATTTAATTTTTGGAAATCGGAATAACAGTTTTTTCTTGACAGTGTTTTATTAATTACCAATCGGATTTTTTGCCAATTGAAGATGCAAATTTGGCGAAGCACAATTATCAGGTCGTTTAGAAAAATAGAGATGAATATCATGAACGGGTCCACATTTTCCAAGAGGATCTGGTGGAATTGGAATACTAGTTGCATTACCATTATCATCTAACCCTTCTTGATCATTTTTCTGAGACCACTTTGTAAAAATAATTCCACTATCAGGAAGAAATTTAAATTGAGAAACTTTTATTTGGCCGTGCTCACCACCCCGTGGTGCACAAAGCATACACATCCACATAAATACTCGATATTGTAACCCTTGAGCATGCGATGCTGATACTTTCGGATGGTTAAATATAAGAGTAATCTCTTCCTCAGTTAATGGATCATGATGTTGTGGAATAATTCCATTTCGTTTTAACTGTTTCATTTTGCCATCTAGTGTATTCCACAAATTTCTAAAATCGTCTTTGTGTGATAATTTAAATTTAGTAGGGCCAGCTTGTGCATTATAGATCCATTGACTTAATAGGATTAATGCATTTTTCAGAGAAGAAGGTGAATATTCTTTTCCACTTTTAAGTTGCCGTACACCAACTATAAATTTTTGCATTTCTCATTCAAGTTGTGCCTTGTTTGTTATTATTTTAATGTCGTAATTGTAGCCAACTTTTTTACGCCAGTTTCTAAGTACATTAACCCATTTCTCAATAGATTTTGTAGTATTAGCTAGAACCCGTGAGTTAGTAATTTGATCTAATTTTTCAGTTAATGGTAAGTAACTTTCTTGAGAGGAATTCGTATGCTATATATATAAGTGTATTTTTTTTTTTAATATAATATATATTTTTATAAATTTAAATTTTTAAATTAATTTAAAAAATATTACTTTATATTTCGCAACCTTAGGCATGTTTAAATTAAATGAGATAATCAAAAGAGTTTTACGAAATGCAAAGTTTATATTTATAGTAAAAAAAGTTTCATGAAGATCGTCATAGCCAGAAGGATAATACTGTTACTGGCATGTAAGCTACTAATAACTGCCTTATTTGTCAAAATTTTTGACGAATAACTGCAGTTATTGGTCGCTACGTGCCCAATAACTATATAATATCTCGATTTACAGCTGTTTTTATTATTCCTGGGATACCTATAAAAAAATTAGCTGAAAAATTTTTCAGCCGGTAATTTTTTCGGTATAATGAATTCAATAAAAATTATATTTTTGAATTCGTTCAATTTTAATTTACTATAATATTGATATAATGTCTACATTATAAATTAAATATATTTTTGAATTCGTTCAATTTTTATTTACTGTAATATTGATATAATTTCTATGTCTAAATTACATCGTTGTTCCAATTTCAAAAATTACCATAATAAATATAATACCTGTTCTACAAATAATTTTATTATTATAATGCAGTAATGTCAACATTATTAAAATTTTATTTGAATGCTTGCCCAATATGTTTAGTATGCTTAATTTGTATAAAAGTTTATAGAAAAGATTGTTCTTGTTAACCAATAAAACTTGACAAGAAATATAAAAAAGGCTCCAGATATCAAATTAGCTTTTATAGTAAATATTTTACATGAATAGACACTAGTATTAAAAAAGTTAGATACGATCAAGAATTCGTCAATTGGACTAAAAATTCAACTAAAGTCAAAATTCCAAAAAATCAAGACTTATCATAAATACGCTAAAAATTATGATCAATACAATCAAAGCGAAATAGTAGATCTAACAATTAAAGATTCTCTAGAATCTTTATCGTCTATGGCAAATACTTTTGAGTTATCTGACTTGTATGAAGTGACTACAACTGATTCAGAAATTAATAGTGAAAAAGATCC